ATTAGGATTACAGAGGATTACTCGTTGAAACGGATTCACGATTAACGGTGAGACAAACTTTGGTTACTGTTGGGAAGCAAGAAAAAGTCAAATATACAATCGGATAAATTCTACCAGTTGCAAATGATGACAAATGAGAGCTTGTTGTTTTCTTACTAAGACATTAAACTTTGTCTGAACTTCAACTCAGAAAATATTTTGAGAAAAACATAAATTAAAATGAATCAGAAGCGCAGTAAAAGTAATGTGTTTAGCAGAAGCATGCAAATGTGAAACAATATCCAAGAATAACGTTTCTTTTATACTTTTTTGCAACACGCTTTGACATAAAAAAGTATGACAATGAAATACAGAATTAAGCGTTGCCTTAACATTTCAAAGCTATTGGAATTAACTCGAAAAGTACTTATAACAAACTTTTCTGTGTCAAACACTTCATACATGATGTCGCTCATATCATTAATTAACTTCTAATGAAATGCAAATTGTTTGCAAACTCTAATTCGAGTTCAAAGTTTTACTTGAAGTGAAACTTTCCTAACTTGAAAGCCATTATGCATTTTTCGCAGATTGGAAAACATCACAATTCAAAGATAAATTCTTAATATTCGCAAGCACTTTGCACTATGTGCGAATAATGTAATAATAAGTTAATAGATCTATCTAATGAATTTAGCATTCGTATTTAATTAACAATACAACGTATCTAGTAAAACAGAAACAGTTACATGTATATTCAAGATTCACTAATGAGTGAAAGTCTTCTTAAAATTAAAAGTTCTTTGCGATTTCAAGAGTGCATTGTTCACTAAATTAGGTCGCAAACAACTCGACAAACTTTGTAGTTAAGCTTGAAAAATGAATTGCAACGTTGTCTTGGCTCATAAATAATGTATTCATCACTTGGCCTGTTGGCCATAATACTAACGTTAAAGCACTTTTAAGATTTAATGGTCATTACAGAACTCCATGGGAAACTTTGACAAAATAGACTTTTAAAACTTTTAAAAATTGATTAACGCTTTAAAGTTGCGGGAGTCCTCGTGTAGATTTCTTACATAGAGGACTAGTTCCCAATTTTTTTTTTAAATAAACATGTTAGTTATGGTTGCTTAAAAGTATTTCACTCATTTTGCTGTTTGAGTTCGCCAAGGACCGACCAGAGTCTACATTTTAACGCTCATATCTCCATTTAGGAAAAACAATATTTTAAATTATTTGATAGTTGAACTAAATAAAACGTTCTCTTGGCTGAGAGCGATTAGTTGATGCCAATTCCAGAAAAAAAAATATATTCAATTTATCAATGTACATTTTCAAATCTTTCTTGTTTTGCATAAGCTCTTAAGTTTTCATCTCACACTATTGTTTACCCAATAAATTACTTCCAAACGCACAATCATCTAAACAATGTGTTTTCCAAATCATTAAATGCACAGTTTTCACAATCCATTTTTATCTCTGGGGACAACTGAAAAATATATTGTTTATTGCTGTTGATACTCGGAAGGGAATGTTGCAAATAATTATGTTTCAATCCGATGAACAAATAAACAATGAAATTGTGAAGATTGCATTAATAATTACTTCGGCGTACAGGAGAATAGGTAGGTCATACTACAGGTTGTCATCCTTAAACCGACGTATAAAGTTTTTAAGTCATTTTAGTAATATACGTTTTCTGGAAATATACGTTTTCTGTTCATTTTATCGATATCACAAAGGTACATTTTTTACTTTAATTAGTAAAAACTTTAAATAATTATTCTATTAAAAACTGAGAAATTTGCAAAAAGAACTATATCATAAAGACGGCAACAATGTTTTTCAAGATAATTTGCCTAATTAATATTACTTCAATATACCTATGTTGCTTCGTAACTATTAAAAACTCCGGTAACCATGCAAAAATACAAAGTGACAATAAAATTGGGATAAATGGTAAATTCAACAGGATTCGGTAAACGAAAGTATCTACATTTTTCGAAATGTCAAATTGTCAACGAAAAATTGATCTTTATTGTGATAATAACCTCGAATTGATGAGTTTCCAGATAAACAAACAACAAACATTTCTGTCCTTAACTCCAAACAAGTTAGTCCCTGTGTAATCGCCATATTTTCTTATCTATTCTTTTCTTATCTATCCTTATTCGGTTAATTAAATCCTGCTCAATTTGTATCTGTGTTCAGTAAACCATTGGTTTAATGTGTCCTTGTGTTCTGGGTATCTGCCATACGTGGCAGGAATCCCTATTTGGTGCATTGGAACCCAAACATCTATTGTCGTCCACCATGTTCCTAAAGCCAATCTTCCAGTGTCTCTAGCCCTTTGTTGGGGTAAGTTCTTACAGCTTCTGCTATGTTACTGTGGCATTCTCCCATAACTAATAGCATATCCGCAAATTCGATATTGGTGTAAATTTTGTGAAATAAGCTTCAAAGCAAGTCACAATTTCACAAATGATTGTTATTCTTGACAAAAGCTTTGTACCTGTAATTACCGGATAAGGACAAAAAATAACCTGTCACTTTGACTTTTCATTGAAAAATTTGTAGAAAGTACTTTCCTAATACGAAGAATTTTTATAATTAGATGCAAACATCGTAATTTTTCTATTCGAATGCTTAAGTATTCCTATAAGCTACTACTCAAACATGGGACCACTTCAAAATAAAGCTTAATAACAAAGTTAAAATTCGATATTCAACTGTTAATATATTCTAGAAATAATATGCTCTGTAATATTAAACCGAGTCTCTTGATGCTCTGAAAGCCATCAAATTGTTTAATACCACTTTGAATTACTTCCGTTGCTTACACTGAACGATACTTTGTAAATCTTGTAAGGAGACGCTGATTTATATTAACTAGGAGCAAAAGCCGGCAGGACACAGTCGCTTCTTCAGAGTAACTAATTAGGACTGGCTCTACAGATAAACACCTATTACCTGAAAATTATTTGAAGACAAATAGGATGCTAAAGTAAATCCGTAATCAGCGCTGGTGAGAAAATTTGACCGCTCATGTAATCGATTGTTTGAAGAAAGCAAGGAAAACAGACTCTACTCTTGCATAAGTTAGGTAAAAATCTAGCTTTGTTCTGTCACTAAATCAATACCTCGTGGTATCCGAATAAAGAATACAAATATTTCCTGCACGAAATGAAGATCCAACCAAAGTAATAATGCACAAAAGCGAATGGAAATTGAATTCTATATTATGAATCCAGATATTTTGCCACAATCAATATACTATGAAAGACATATTTCATCGCAATAGTCGAATATAGGTATAAACTGTAGATAATATAAGAAGCGAGAGATAGTCCATCGGATTTTTATTTGACAAGGAAAAAATCTACTTTCGAGCATCATTTCAATCAGCTTGAGTCTTGAAAGTGGTTTTCATATTGGAGGCGCCTTAAATTGTCTGTTACAGATAGTAGTTGAACATTTTCAATAAAAGTTTAGATCTGCAAAATTTAACGATCAGAATAGCAATTTTGAGTTTTTAGAACTTAGACTTAATTGCCATCAAATTGGCATTTTTGTTGATGAACTTTATCTAGTAGGAAATGTGTGACTATCGCTAATAGCTTTTAAAAAATTATCCAAACCTTGCGACCTCTGCATAAATTATTTTAATTTCTCCATAACAATTAACGACTAATACAGAATAAGATAAGCAATCGCAAGATTGAAATCCGCGATAGCAGTTGGCAGACTCGATTTGTCATGTAATTAAATATCTACATGTAAAGTTAATTGAAAATTAATATTTGATGGATCGTACTCGTTAACATAATGCCGTTTGAATGATGATTAATGACAAATATATTTTATGACATTAAGTATTATAACGAGAACTTGTAATTATTGGAAAACTTAATAGTACTGTTAGTTTAACGATACGAGATCCGATAGGGTTTTTAATTCTTAAGTAATGGCCGTATTTAAAGCAAATCTCGATTTCAATTCGGTTCCTTTAAAAACAATAAGTAGCCATCTGCTTACTGCTTATAAAAACGGCATTATTTTCTTGATGTCCAGT